TATCTTTAATTGAAATTCAATAAAAAAATGGTATTTTTACACAAATATCACATTAACAGAAATTAATTACTTGATAGACACTGTTTAAGAATATTTTACGGATCTAGTAAAATTTTAAATACGTTCTATAAAATTATTCCTGCATTAAATTACACAATACAACTATGTCTACCAATTACCACTTGACACTTTCTTATGCGTTTTTAACCATTTCAAAATCCTATACGTATAGTATATTCTAAGAAAACTTTGAGGGTAAGTAATTTAAAATATAAATAATCTTATAAAATATTATGAATCATCATCATCATCATTTTGAAAATAATTTTGTAGAAAGGCGCGGTACATGCACCGCATAGAATTTTGAAAAATATTTATAAAAGTTTTATAACTAATATTTATTTTTCAAAATCCTATGTGGTGAATGTGTCGCGTCTTTCTGTAAAATTATTTTTCAAAATCCTAGAATATACTATACGTATAAGATTTTGGAAGGGTAAAAAATGCATCAGAAAGTGTCAAGTGGTAATTAGTAGACATAATTGTATTGTGTAATTTAATGCAAGAATAATTTTATATAAAATATCGTAAAATATTCTTAAACAGTGCCTAACAAGTAATTAATTTATGTTAAGGTGATATTTGTGTAAAAACGCTAACTTTTTTTCTTCTTCTAAAGACGTCAGGATTTCAACAATAAAATTCACCCTAAAGACGCCGAGAAATCTTGTCCAACTCTGAAGACGCCGAGAGATCCCAAAACCCTATAGAAAACACCCTATATCAGAAATTAATCGAATGAGTACATTAGTTTGAGAATTAAACATTCCCACATCCTTATTTGGGCACTTTTGCCTATTAAATCATTACATTATTTAAACTATATTATTACATACTTTATAATAGTTCATGTAATTATAAGATAGCGTTTGTTAAAATAAATAGTTAATAACAATATATATATATATATCTTATAAATACGATCATTCAAATTTGGATATCTGAAAAGTATTATAATCTATTTTCTAAACCACTCAATAAGTTCTATTATCCATGTTAAACATTTGAGTAACAATTTAAACGCTAAAATGAGACTAATTTAAGGTATAAAAATATAATACAGAGCTAACCCGATTTGAACATAAAAAATACATTCAATCATGATATTATTTGGTGACACTATCAGCCTCCAAGCCATTTCTCTCTTTTGATTTTGTCGATATCAGCATCAATTTTAATGTTAGATATTGATTGTTGATATTATTTTTATTATTTTTTTCTTATATCTTGTTTTGATTTTTTATTTTATTCAATTTTTATTATATTTTTTTAATAAAAATCTATTTTGTTTGATTTTTTATTTTTAGTATATTTTACATATTTTTATCTATCTTTTTAACACATTTTAACTTTGTTTTCGTGGCACGCTTTACTCTGTTATTGCAATATGTTTTCTCTATCTTATGGCACATTGTTCGCTTACTTCTGTGTTAGATATATGATCGTGTAAAGATTCTCACGTCGCTCGTAACTGATTTGTGAGTGATCTTTTAATGGTTAAATATCATTTTGTGGTTATTTGGTGATATTTAGATCTACTTTGCAAAGCAACTTATAAGTTTGTTTTAGTTTACTTGTCACTCCCTCACAATCTCCAAAAGTGTATAGTTAGATAGAGACAAATGAGTATAATTTACGATTTCTAAGTTACAATAGATGATGAATGTTACATTCAAAAGAATGCTTCAATAATTATTGCGTTTTTGAGTTTTCTTTTTTATTTATTTTATGTTTGAATTATTTTAGTAGATATAATTTTTAAAACTTTCTCTTTGAATAGTTGTATCAACGCTGTTATATTTCATTTGTAGGGAATGATAATCTGAGAGAGTTGTAACAGTGTAGAGAGAAGGACAATGTTTTTGTTATACACATTTTCTTATTCATATGCTACTACATGTTATAATAACAGTAATACAAAAAAGTTAAAATTCCACCCACATATTGGTATTAATACATATCAATATCATTAGAATTAAAGATGGGTATTTGGTTGAACAATGAAAACGAAAATTAAATTAATCAATAGGGGTTGATTCAAGTGATAAGAAGTTTGATATCGCTCAAGTAAGGTCTCAAGTTCGAGTCATTGTGTATGTAGAAAATCCTTGTTAGGAGGTTTATCCACCAAAGTCAAGTATGCGAAGCGGGTCAATCCGGATTAGTCAAGACAAAACCTTGAAATTGGGAAGGAAACCAATTTTTTTTAATTAATCATCCATCTTTTATCATTTTAGTTTAGTTTGATTTGAAATTTCTTGAATCAGTTCGAGTGAGATAAGTTTTGATTAGAATATATTTATTTGAGTTAAATTTAAAATAAATCAACTTAAAATCTTATAGGAATATGATTAAATTTTATAATTTATTGTTTAAAGTCTCAAATTTATCGCTTCAAATTATTTTATTTATAAATTAATATTATTAAGTATTTTTTAAAATTGTATATATTTTAAAATGAATTTATATTTCTTAATAATTGAATTTAAGTTGAACTAATCCATAGTAACATTGAATGGTCTTATCCTCCCTTTCTTCAAGGTATTGTATATGATGATTTCAACAACAGCCGTCTTAGCTCAGCCGGTAGAGCGCGTGGCTTTTAACCACGTGGTCGTGGGTTCGATTCCCACAGACGGCGTTTTGTTTTTCAATTTTTTGTTTAAAGGAAAACGCTTAGTACTTGTCGCCTATTAAGCCCATGATAAATGATACGGGCCCATTTTACCCACAACCTTGTTTCGGTTAATTTTTTTCGGCCGTATAACCATAAAAAAAATTCAGAATGGAAGTTATATATATACGAAGAATTTTCCAGACCAAATGCCATATCACATTTTCTATTTACTTAAATCAGAAATTAAAAAAATAATATTATGATCAATTTAATTATATTCTTTCTGTTAGTCAAATTATTAATAAATAAAAGATTTTAATGTTTATAGATCAGTCAAACAAATAAGTTATAGTTCATCAACCTCACACACAAGTTTTTTTCAAAGATTTTAAGGATCACGAACAACATTTAAAGAATGTTTTTTGTATTTAGAAGAACATTTTAAGTTAATTTAACCGATTGAAATGAGATAAGATTTGTTTTAAGGTCAAGTCCAAAAGGTTCTTGAAATGGTTTATCTACCTAAAAGTAAATCCCCAAGATTTTCGGATCAATCGCTCTCTGATCTGATTACACTTTGTGCAAAGAAATAAATCTCATTTTTTAAGATCAAATCTTGACAATCCTTAAATTGAACCTCATTTGTTGCTAATGCTAAGAATGTGAAATCCCATTAACCGAATAAATACTTGTTGAAGGGTTTATAATTAGTTTTTTAGTCCGCAACGACATTGGTTTTGATGTTGATTCGATCTTCAGTTCTTTTTTTTATTTTTAATAAGATTAATTTTTTCTTTGTGACACGCTTTTCTCTATCTTTATGGCACATTTTTCGTTTTCTTTCTTGGTCGTTTGATCCCTCCTTCTATTTTATGTTTTTTCATGGTTATATTTGATGACGCTAACTAATTAATGTGACACATATTTATATTCACGTTGATCTTCATTTTATGGATCCTCATATTGAATTTGGATGCTTGGTTTTGCATTCGTGAATAGTTTCTCACGATGCTCATATTTGATTTGCGATTCTCGGTAATTTTTTGATAGTTTAATCTGTTTCGTGGTCCGTTTGGTGATGCAGATTCGTTCATGTCTATTTTTCGTTAATCTTTTGGTTGTGTTTTTTTAATCTTTTTTATTTGTCGTCCAGGTCTAATCTAAGTTGGTTAGTTTCTTTTGTCAATGATATATGAAAATGTCCAAATTATTTATTTAGTTTAAATTGAAATTTGCAAATTCTTATTGTAATTTTGGATATTTTTACTCTTTAATAAGAATAGCTACTTATATTAAAAAAAAAATTAATGCGAGCAAAATTTCAAGGATCAAATTTTAAAAAAATTATTAAAAAAAGTTGCATATATATATTTTTTAATAGTCTAAAATGTCTATGAGATAATATTTATTTATAATATTTTTTATAAGATTATATTTCTTAACCGTTGAGAAGTTAAACACACATTGAACGCAAATTCTAAGTTATCACAATCAAAGTGAACATAAAAGACATTGCTAAGAAAAAAAATAATTGAACTTTAATTTTGTTATGCAAAAAGTTTTTGTTGAGAGATTCATTCATCAAATATTTTCGAGAAATTCATTCATATTCAATAAAATCAAGTATACGACACAAATTGGTTCAAGTTAATCAAGCCGATGCCCTAGTATAGAGAGGACAACATAAAAATATATATTTGGGTCGAGTCCCATGAAATGATAAGTTTTGAATATAGTTTGATTTTCCCTTGAAACATATTGAAGGAGTTGAACAAAGAGCACAAGCAGTAAAAATGGAACTACTATATGACCAAGAGATGCGGGCCACATTTCTTTGATTTGCATCCGCTTCAGTTTCAGCCCCACCTTACTCAACTTTTTTACCATCACCTAGGTTTTTTATTTACTATTACCATATGCTTCCTTACAATCCAAATCCACACCCTAAACAAAAACAAAGGAAATTACCACACGTCACTTGGTGACTTTCCTATCTATTTTTCCTTTTACGTAAATTTTACCCAAAACCAAACGTTTACTTTTACCCACCCACTACTTCAAATTTTCCCGAGCAAATAAAGGAAAATTGAAGGGCCAGAAAATATATATATATATATATATATATAGAGCATCTGTTAAGTGAAATTCTTTTAGTTTTACATAGAACGAGAGCAATTGGATAAGTAAAAATAGATGGTTAAGATTAAAAGTTAGATGAGTGCCTCATTTAATAACCTAAATCTGTATAAAACTAAAGAATTTTTTATTATGTAAATAGATTCTAACCCTATATATATATATATATATATATATATATATATATATATATATATAGAATAGTAAATTTTGAAGGGAGAGGTACTGTGATTTGTGATTTTCGTTTCAAACGTGGAAATTCTTTCCGGTGAAAGTTTGGCCGAACTGCCAATTAGCTGGTGCCACGTTCCAGGATGTGGAGGTCCTTCTGTCACTGCCGGTGACCCTAAACGACAGTTGCTGGCCTACCAAAACGGCGTTGGACTGCCAGTTCTGACCCCAATTACGGCTCATGCTCAACCAACCGGTGTTGGTGCCTTTGATGCTTACCCTCACGATATCCCCTGCACCCGCAACGTTGGTCACCAAAACCAAGTTGAAATAACGGAATCCGTTGACTGTGAATCTGATTCCACCATGCTTTCGGCAAGGCACTCTGTAAATACAGATAATATCATTAAATAATAAAAAATAATATATAAAAATGGATAAACCATACACTTGATCCCTCAAGTATCACTTTGTTTCATTTTAGTCATATAACTATTATTTTAGTTTCATTTTAGTCACATGCTATTAAAAAATTATTAGTGATATTAACATTTCGTGATAAGATAATACAATGTCATCATTGAAAAAATTAATAAAATATCATGTCAACTATTCTTTAATTTTTTAATCAAAAAAAAAATAATATGAAATATAATATTTAAAAATAATAATTAAATAAATAAAATGAACAAAAAATTAATAATTTATATACTAAACATGTATTTTACCCTATAAAAAAAGAAAGATAATTATAGAAATTAAGCCTTTTTAATTAAAAAAATCCCTTTTTTCCGCATTGCTTATCCGTAGGATGTAGTAAATTTAGTCGTCTAAGGATGTCTGACTTTCTGGAAAATCTTTAGTGAGACGTAAATTTACAATATTACCCTGCAACCCTTTTCACTTTTGTTACACATCGAGAACCGTGAGGGTTGTTTGGGTCCTTTCCGGGATCACGGAAAAGCCGTTGGGCCTAAATTTGGGTAAACGACATTAAATTCTGGATTGATTCTCAACAGACACCTATTCTTTTCAGGCCTTCGTTTTTGCTTTCCCAAGAAATTATGGAAAAATATATAATTATATATATAACACTGTTTGGTTCCCGAGAAAACAGAGAATATAGAGTAATGAAATTCCCATTTTAACCCAGATTTAAGAATCAACAGCATAAAATAACCAAATAAACCAACTGGAAGAGAATTTAGCTGACTCACCGGCGGAAGGAACGGGGACAATACCGGCACGGTACTCGGCGATCTGGAGGAACATTGGCATGGCAAGGTCGAAGTGAGGGCGAGGAGGGTTGCACCATCCGCCATTGTCACTGGGGAGAGCGAAATTAGGAGGGCAAAAGTTAGTGGCGGTGATGAAAATGGAAGGGTTGCCGACTTTACACCATCTCGGGTCGTCCGTACACTTAATCTCAAAGCAAGCGCCGCAGCTGAGCCCATTGTTGAATAGCGCCGTGCTTAGTGCTGCTGTGTTCACTCCGTAGCCTTGGCTGTAGAGATTCCCGTACCCACATGCACCGCCTGAGCAAAATAAGAAACGATTTACACATTTTAATGGTGGTTTTAGCAGAATGCATGTTAAAAAAATGGGTTTCTTTTACTGTTAAGCTAAAAACAAAGCAAAATATCAAGACAAGAAACAAATAAATACCCATAGTTTCTGAAGCATCGCTGCCACCATAGAAAGTAGCATGGGCAGATTCCCAAGGGCCACTAGTGTAAATTCCAGGGATTTTTGCATTCGCGAAAGCGAAAAAGCATATCAATGAAGCAAAGCAGATCATTCCCAAGGAAGAAGGAGCAGCAGCAGCAGCCATTGTTTTTATTTCTTCAAGAAAGAAAAACAAAAAGAAAGGGTGGTTCGTTAAGTTGGGGGCGAATGGAAAGCGGGAAGAACGTGGGGGGTACTTGTTGAGGACTGAGGAGATGGAAGGTTGGGGGCCCATAATAAATTATTACTCTATGTAAATGAAATTAATTATCATAAAATCCATTTTTTGTTGGATTTTTAAATTTATTATTATTATTATTATATTTTTTTATATAATTATTAATATTTAATTTATAATACACAGCTTATTTCTTTCTTCATCTTCGGTTGAGATGGGACTATATTAATCTTGGTGTTGGTTATTACCATCAGTACTTTTTATTTTTGTTTTTTATATCAAAATTTTATATATATATTTTAGTTTCTAATAATTATGTATTTATAATATATATTTTTATCTTTTTTTGCACGTTTTTGGTTGTATGATATTTTTTTCACTTATTTTTTTCTCTTAAAGATTAAATTTAATATTGTCACGATTGCTTAATTATTTGTTATTATGTTGTTCTTCTCACGTTAAACACTCATATTGGATTTGGATACGTGATTTGTATTCGTGAATAGTTTTCTCACGTCGTTCGACTCTTATTTACGGTTTATCAGTCATTTTTAATAGTTTGATCATTTTTTGTGATTTATTTATCGATGTTGACATATCAATTTATATATATATATTGATCAAAGTTTTTTTGTTATTTTTTTTTACATTTCCTTTTGTAGGATTCTTATATGATCTTAAATAATTAATTTTTTATATTAATGATTATAAAAAAATTTAATTATATATTTAATTTACGATTATAATTATAAATTTTGATTATACTTCTCAATATTTTATCTTTTTAATAAACTAACTATTTTAATAAAAAAAATAAATTATTAATAATTAATTGAAATCGGTAAAATAAAAGCTCATCGATCATGATTAGTTTTGTTCAAATTCTCGGTCTCCGAGTTTGGGAGACCATGTGGCTCACACTTGGGCAGTTCTGGTTTAATTTAGTTTTAGTCAAAGAGTTGTGCAAAAATTAAAGATCTAATTGCCATTGTTGAAATTGTTGCACATGCATCCCTTAACTATATGAGATTCCACTACAAGGTTTAGCGTTTTTCGATTTCACATTTAAATTGGGTTTCTTCAGCATCTTTAAAATAATGTTTAATTGTTGAGATTTTTTATTATTATCTAATTTCATATTAAACCTTATAAATTATTAGTGTAATACCCCAAATGTCGGATCAGTTACTATATTGCACGGATTTAAAAATTTGGTGGATTAATTTGAATAAATTGAATAGTACAAGGAATTAATTAGGAAATTGTGTTTAGACTAATTATTAAGAACAAAAGGATGGAGGGGCAATTTGATCTTTTAGAAGGAATGTATTTAATATTCATTATTTTTGAGGATATTTATTAGGATGAATAGGAGAAAAAGGGAAAAAACTGAAAGAAAATTTGGTTCTCTATTCTTCTTCCCATCGTCCCCGTGCCCCCATAGCAAAGGTAAATTCCTTCAAGTTGGTTTTTACTTTCGTTTATGGGTTGGTTTTGAAGCCTTAAGTGATATAGAAGTTTAAGGAAAACTTAAGAGTGAATAAAACTAAGAGATTAGTGATTTATTATGTAACACCCATAATCCGTATAATTATACCTATACAGATTATAGATGCTACCCGAATTTTAAAACCATTTATCTTTACTAAAAAGATTTAAAATTTATTTTCTTAAAATAGTAATTGATATTATAAAAATATATATCATATAATTTATATTTTGTTATAGCAAATTTAATTCAAAAGATTTTTTTATGAATAGTGATGAACAATATCGTAAACAATGATGAACAGTACCCGTGAACAGTGATGAACAGTGTATCGATGCGCCACAGTAACGTGAACAGTGCATCGATGCATCAAAACATCGAATTAATATTGTGCATCGATGCACTGCTATAGTAACTGCTGCAGTACTACTACAATAACTGCTACAGTATTTTCAACATTATACTAAACTCATAAAATTACCATTTTGTTTCTAAATTTGTTCAACAAAGCACATACAACATTAATAATTACATGCCATTAATAAAGTCAACATTACATCTTAGGATGTCTTACTGATATAGAAATATACTTCTTGATGCTTGATGTCGCTTTGCACTCCTTATTCCACTACTGGCTTTTTACCTACGCGTGAAAATCATCACACGCTAAGTATATACTTAGTGAGGCAACTAAAACAATAAACAGTGCAAAACAATTCATGCATGAATTTAGATTTCAAATACAATGCCATAAAACCATACGAATAGCATATTCAATATTTTACCATGATCAAAATAATATAAAATCTCTTACCATTTATCCCATAAGCTCATAAGCTTATTTTACCAATATACTTACCATTATTCCATATCCATATACCATAGACAATAACCATAAACAATAGAAAATAGCCCAATATTCAACCTTGAGGACACTGGGTACACGAGTCAAATATAAGCATCGTAGTGCCAATCCGTATGACACATAAGGTCGTGTCCACCATAATCCGTATGACACATAAGGTCGTGTCCACCATAATCCGTATGACACATAAGGTCGTGTCCACCATCTGTACTAGGTATCCTTAAGTACAGTCTCGTATGTCACATAAGGTCGTACCCACCATATACACTAGGTATCCTTTAGTGTATCCCGTATGCAGCCTGCTGCTGGACTCTATGGCATGCCAACTATACACTGTCCCTCAATAACTGACTTGGGCATACAGTCTATTTTATTTGATCCATCCATGGCAAAGTATATTATCATAATTTAACATTGGGCAGTTCATACCCGAAATAATATTCATGGTAAAATATCACAATTTCCATAATCAATGCATTATATTTTCAACCTTTGACATATTTAGAATATATCAAATATATGATAAATGACATAAATATCATGTCAACATAAACAAGGTCGACTTATCGCAAGTCTTCTTGATGATGTATAAAACATCCATGTATAATGTCATGCATGTATTGCACTCACCTTGACACTATAATTTTCCAAAATATAAGCCTCACTATAGTCCACAATAACCTTTTCTTTTATACTCGAATCGTTTTGAACATTGAGTAAATCACAATCTGTACAAAATATAGATTCATACCTATATATATTAGTATTGTAATAACATGAATATATTTCCAAAATAAATTCCATAATCATACTTCAAACTATTCACCACAAAATACTTTAACATTTATTAATTCTTTTTAGTATTGGAACCAACTTTTCCAATTTACTCAAAATGGTCCTTCACCATTTTACCACCTAAATTCTTAATACAAATAATTCCATCATTGAAATTATTACCATTTAAATGTTGTACTTAAATCACCAAACTTTTCAAACTTCCCAAAATAGTCATTTTTCACATATAACACTCATTTAAATTCCCAATCAATAATTTCCAGCATAGTACATCAATTATATAACATTCACATAACAACCCATCTATTTTCCAAAATTTTCAATTTAATCCCCAACTTTTCAAAACTTACGAAATGGTCCTCAAATTTTCTAAGGCTTGTAAAATACTTCCTTATTCATTTTCAATCCTTATATAATTTTCCATAATTTTTCTCAATCAAACCATCCATGGCCGAAACTTAAAGAACAAGTTCTAAAAAGATTAAACATGTTCTAATCATCATACATGCTTAAATATGAATCAACTACTTCAAAACATCAAGATCCATCATCAATTTCATAATCCCTTATATGAACACAAACCCTTAAATTTGGGATCTTTGAACACCAACAAGATTACCATGCAATATTGGTACCAAAAGATAGAGTTTTTCTCGTATAACAATTTTTTATTTACAATTTACTCAAAATCCTAAGTAAATTGCTTGGAAATTGAGTTGAAGTTTTCTCTTACCTTAGGAGAAAGCCCACAACAAGCTGGATGAGGAAGAAGATGAAAATACTCCACCATTATTGATAGTCTAATATTATAATCCATCACATGGCATAATATCACATAATGGCATTTTTTTATTCAAATAAATAGGAAATTCTATTTTTGCCATTAATGAATATCCATATTCACCATAAAACCTATACACCTCATCCTTATCATCTTTCAAAGTTAAAGATGAATTATTTTGACTTTAATTTACGAAATTTCCCATGAAATTTCAAATCTTGCATTTTAGTCACTAAATTCCACTATTTCGGTTAAATCTGAAAAATTGCACATTTCTAGACCAAATTTCTCTGATCCAAAATATAATTTTCATAAAACCCCATTATCAAGAGTAAACTATCTATTTATGAAATAAAATTCTTTTTAGGAACTTTATCACTAATTTCCTTAAAATTTAAAAATTTACATTTTGGCCATTAACCAAAATTTGGGGTATTACATATTAGAGATTTAATAAAATGAGTTTTTAAATGATTTGATGAAATAGGTTAAGTTATTGGAGTTTAAGGCATATTTGACTTGTCAAAGAAGTATATAAGAGATTGGGAGCCTTAGAAGTGATTGAAAACATGTTTGAAATTTGGGTGTGATTCTTAGTTTTGAGTGTTCTTTGGAGATTTTGGATGTTATAAGGAGATTTATGGATGTAAGTTAGTTGGAACAAGTGATAATGAGTTTAATGATATGGTTGAAGATAAGAGTAAGAGATTTAGGTGAAAATTGTATAAAATTCGAAGTAAAAGAGGTAAAATATGGGTAAGGGTATCGGGTTTGGAAGAACAATACCAATTTAAAGAAGTATCGATACTGAGGTGTAGGTATCGATACCAAGAGGTAGGTATCGATACCATAATCAGAAATGAAATTTTAGAATGCTAGAATGGTATAGATACCGAAGAATGTATCGTTACCATATAAGATTGGTATCAGAGCTGGGCTGATTCTTGGAAAGAAGCAAGCAATTTTGCTTGTTCTTGCACACAAAACTGTCAAGGTACCCCAACGGAGCTAGTTCAGAGAAG